ACGTACGTTACGTACGTAGTAGTAGTACGTAGTACGTACGACGTAGTAGTAGTAGTATATATATATACTACGTACGTACTCTACGCTACTAGCGTGGTAGACATTCTATATATATATATATATATATATATATATAGGGTAGTAATTTCATGCAACAGTTGCATAGTAATATAATGCAACAACCTTCAAAAACCATGTTAGCGCCATTCGTTTGATCCAAATTTTAAAATATACACAGTTTTCATTCTAATGAACAATCACAAAAAAGAAAAAATTGACAAAGCAACCTAGAAAGTATTTTTTTAGCCCAATTAACATAGGTCGTCCATTTTGGTGAGATGCTTAGATCTAGGCTTTAGAATGATCTTTTTTCTTTCCAAATTTTTTAGATAACTTTTATTATCATTCGATTAACAATATTAAAAAAGAAAAAAATGATTTTGAATTCATAAAGGCCTAGATCTTGAAGTTCATCAAATACACGGTCTAGATTCATTATTGGAGGGAACTCATTTTGACCATATATAGGGTGCAAATTAGTTTTTTTTTTATGGATTGATTATTGAGGAGAAGAGAGTGTGTCCGAAATTTTGGGTCATACAAATACCACAAACATGGTTTTCTAGAAGTGTGGGTTTTTTTTTTTTGGGGGGGTAATTCAGTAGGGAAGACAGGCCCTACCCGTTTTTTCAAGTAGATTAGGAATTATCTTCTTTGAAGGTGTTAGTAGGGTGGTGTTAATGGTGGGAATGGAAACCACAATGTGGTAACTATGGTGTCAGGGTGCTACCACCATGACTATACTATGATACAACAGTTGCATGAAATCACAGCCCATATATATATATATACACACACAACAGTTGGTCTAAGAAGGGTGAGGACCTAAAACTTTCCCTTAACCCATCCCATGCCTGATTAAAGGGGCATGGTTGTGTTAGGTAGGCAGCCAACATAAAATTTTCCCAACACTCATCATGAATCTTGATAAACTTATATTTCTACATCAAGGGTCAGCATTGAGCCCGTACCTCTTTGTCTTAGTTATGGACAACTTAACAACATGTTGTTTGCAGATGACATAGTTTTGATTGATGAGACCCAAAACATCGTCAACACAAAGTTAGAACTTTGGAGGGATGCTCTAGAATTCAAAGGTTTTAAAATTAATCGAAGTAAGACAGAGTATATGGAATGCAAGTTTAGTAATAATAGGAGTAGAAACGAGGAAGTAATCAAGATTGACGGCCAAGAAGTACAAGAAGACCTCACTTTTGATATCTTGGGTCGATAATCTAGGAAAATGGAGAGATTGAAGAAGATGTCACACACAAAATTAGAACTGGGTGGAAGAAGTGGAGATGTGCAACTGGAATTTTATGTGGTCGCAGCATACCAATGAGATTGAAGAGCAAGTTCTATAGGACAGTTGTGAGACCAACTTTACTCTATGGGGCAGAATGTTGGGCGGACAAAAAACAATATACTCATAGAATGAGTGTAGCGAAGATGAGGATGTTGAGATTGAATAGCAAGACAAGAACAGATAGAATTTGAAATGAATCTATTCGAGACAATTTAGGTATGGCACCAATAGGAGATAAAATGAGAGAGAGTAGACTTAGGTGGGCTGGCCATATGTGGCGACGACCAAGTACAACACCTGTTAGGAGGTGCGAGTTAGTTCAAGCGAAATGACTAAAAAAGGCAAGGGGTAGGCCCAAAAGGACGTGGTTGGAAGAAGAGCATAATGGAGAACTAGGATTCATGTAGCCGACCCGAATTAATTGGGAAAATGATGATGATGATGATACATACATACATACATATATATATATACACACACACACATATATATATATATGGAAAACACTACGCAACGCCTATAGGCGAAATGAACAGTGATTTCGCCTACCCCCATCACCGTTTAAAGTTCATCGCGTGATCACTATTGTCCGGTAATGTTTCATTTTTCATTTTTTTTTCTACAAATCAAAATGACCTAAAATTTGGAGAGTGTATTCACCAAAAATAGGGGAATCTTCGAAAAATATAAAAGAAAATATTTTACATGAAAAAAATTGACGAGGGTATTATGGTCAAAAAACTTTCATGGATAATTTTTTTTATATTTTTATTAGATGCGCCTAAGTAAGATGTACATACCCTTCAAATTTCAGATCATTCCAATTTTTAGAAAAATAAATAAAAAATAAAACACAATCGGACAATCGTGACTGCGCGATAAAATTTGGACGGTGATGAGAGTATGCGAAATCACTATTCATTTTCGCCTATAGGCGTTGGGAAAACTTTTATATATATATATATATATATATATATATATATATATAACATTTTCCCTATTCAATCCTACAGCTCTTCTAAGGCTTGTTCTCCAACCCATAGCCAAGGGCTAGCCTATCCTTGTGCAGAGCGTCAAGGGGGAGGAATAGTCAAAACTTCAAAGGTAACGAATACACCCTCCAATTCATTGAAGACAGTAGTATCAAATCGTCAGCTATCCTTTGGGCCAAAAGTTACAAAAGGCCTCTAACACTTGCTCTGCCAGAAACTTCACTACCAATTTGAGAGAGATTCTCTATTTCTGGCCTTCAACAATTCCAATATCACCCCTATGGACAACCCTGGACCAGGGACACATCAAATTAAATGTCAATGACTGCATCCTCGACCACCCTGGAATGCCCAATTTTGGTGGTAATTGGAATCCTTAGATAGTAAAGAATACTCTTCTCTCGTCACGATACATTGCCACTGTCGATTAAACAATGGCCAAATCCATCACATTACTCAAAGGTTTGAAAAGAGACCTCCGATATGAGGAGCAACTCCATTGGCCTCATAATTAAGGGAGACCAAAACACTATTCAATGGGTAATGAGAGTTGTCCCTTTGTTTTACTACTTATTTTACCTTTGCAGACACCTTCATATCAGCTTCACACACACCATGAGTGAGGCCAACCGTATTGTGGAATCTCTCGCTAAAGTGGTACTGCAAAAAGGACCCATGAGGTCACCTGTCACCTAGCCTTGGCTCTTGAGCTCCGACATTTGTTGTAGCCATGGGACTGTACACCCCATCTACTTCTCCCTCTGTGATGAGCTTAAGGGCCAACCTTTGTGATGTTAGGGGATGGTACCGAGCCACCGATCCCATTTTTTGTTTTTATGTAGAGCACCTGGGTTGTGGGCTGCCATTTTCTGATATATGTAAAGAACAACCTAGTAGATAATAGTTAATACAAGTCAAATATTCCAACATTTCACTATTACAATTTTGTATTGTTATTGGGAAAATGGTGTATTCATAATCACAATTGCCTTGAGAGTTTCACATGCATCAATTGATGCTTGTTTTGTTAAAAGCTTTTTGGATGCAAAAACCATCGACTCCAATTAACAAATCAACAACAATCTATTATGCAAATCAACCTTCAAGAAGAATAGATTACCTACACCTATCAAAATGAAATTAAAATTACAAAAATTACAGAGCAATAAATTGGACAGATAGAACTCACAGTCAACACCGTGTGAAAATTCTTGAGTGTTGTAAGTTTGCAATGAATATTCTTATGCTATGATCCTCATCGACCATAAAAGGCGACTGAACATGAACAAAAAGACAGGGTGATATGTAAATACTTTTTTTAACAATTGTTTTTACTAAAAAAGTATATATATTCTCAAAATAAATGATAAAATAAAGATAGTATAACATCAGTTATAATGCAAAAAACTGATCTCAGGCAGAGTCAAGCAGCAAAGCAAGACACGACTAACATCATTTGTACAGTCAGAGAGAAATATTGCTTTAAGATTACCAATTACTCAACAAAATTATTTCCAATTTGTGTTACAGCATCCCCTAAGGATGTAGGATGATTTATTCAGATACTATATCGTTATTTCCACATGTTGGGTCATATCATGTGTCTGCTTCTGATGCTGGGAGCATGAACTTCATTCATATGCCATAACATGCTTAATATGATTGGGCAAGTTCTGGCCATAAGCACTTGAAAGCTCTGGACCCTCATCCAATATGTGTGCACATAGAATCACCAAAAACCCACCCTATTGAGAGATCCCTGATCTCTGAAATTGACAATAAAGGTCCATTTTCTTAGCTCCACAAGAATCCAATCACTAGAAATGCCAACTGAGCAATCCTTTACAAATCTGCACCACCTGGCTAAAGGTCATGAAGTTGTGCGCTTTTCGAAATATGCCATGGGGATCAAGGTTTAAGCCCCTTTCTTTGCCTTTAGCAGAACAGGATGGTATCAAAGGGTGCCCCTGCCTTGTTAAGAAAGGCAGATAAAGGGTGCCACTGCCTTGTCAAGGAAACACAGATATGAGACGTTTGTAAGTAGCTTCATCAGGCTTGAGTCCCTTCTTCAACATTTCATCATGCATCTTTCTGGCCTCGCTAAATTTCTTTTCCCAACAAAACCAACTTATCATAGTAATGAAACTTGCACTACTCGTCACATTTTTATTTCTCATATGATCAAACATCTCGCTTGCCTCCTCTAATTTCCCTCCATTATAGAGTTGGTCCAAAAGGATGTTGTAAGAAGGTGCATTGAGAACATTTCCCAATTTCACCAACTTTTCATGCAATGACAGAGCATAATCAAGACCGCCATCTTCACAGTAATGCCTGATGAATGAACCACAAGCAAACCCATTAGGCATCACTCCTCTTTCCAACATGACCCACAAAAGTTCATTTGCTTCCTGCCACCCACCTTTGCTACACTGAGAAGATATATGTGAAGAAATAGCCAATGGGTCTGGATAAAATCCCTTTCTAATCACACTTTTAATTACCTTATTGACTTCTTCTGATTGTTCTTCCTTGAAAAGTGCATTCAGGAGAACATTGCATTCACAAATATTCAGAGCTATATCTCTTTGCAGTAACAAAAAGTACATTCTCACGGCTTCCTTAATCCTTTTATCTCTAGAAAAGCCCTTCAATAAAGCAATATAAGAAGCATTTTGCAAGAAAACTAGAGCATTATGGGCTATCCCAAAAACCAATTCTGCAGCATCGGTCATTCCCAATTTACAGAGTCTGCGAATGAAAACACCATAGTCTAAATAATTAATGGTTACAACAATGCAATTGTTATCATTTAATGCGACACAATCATTTGGACTAAATTCACCACCAACAGTTGGCAACAATCTCTTCTCTAGCACAATTCTAAGAACTCGAACAGCAGTCCCATGTTCCCAAATCTCAATAGTGTCAGTACTCCTTCGTTTCCTGGAGTAAGCATCTAAAAGAAGAGAAAGGGCTAAGGATGAAGAACTCTTGTAACTTATTAAATGCTTCAACAATGGTTCTGAATACCAAAGAAGCTGGCCATAAACGGATGGTGTGAAACAAAAGAGAACTTGCCGGTTCTATGACTCCTGACCTTGTTAGAATTTGGAACATGAGGAAGTAAGATCTCAAATCATGACAAAGCCTTTGATGGGTCTTGGCCCAATTGAAGAAACCAAGGGAATTTGGGAGTGATTTAGGGTTTTATTGAGAACTTGGGCCAAAAACTCATGGACGAGTTTAGCAGAGAGGTTGATCTGGTTAAAGACAGAGACCCAAGAATGTCTTTGCAACAAAATGGAGGAGATTGTGCTGATAATGTTTTATGTAAATATTAGACAAGAATATTAATCTAACTCCCCACATTAACGTAAATACGTTAGGGATAGGAAGGAAAAACGCATCAAATTTCTTTGAAGAATGCAAAACGAAGAGCAGCATCGTTGTGGTAAGTAGTGAAACATTTGCATTTTCAAAAAGTAACAAAAACTTGACCAAGCAAATATGCCTTGATCCAAAGCCAGCCAAGGCAGGCATTTGTTCTTCAATCAATCCCGGGCCAAGAGAAGCTAGGCTAAGCAAAGCGAGGAAAGCAACCAACCAATGAAGCGAAGGCACAAAAGGATCAAGAGAGGGATTGAATGAGGATGGGAATTCCTAGGGTGCGGCCGGACAGCACAACGCAAGCCAAGACAAGCAGAATGCTTCTTCGCCACAGAGCGAGATTAGATCAGGAGGAAGCAATGCATCCCGGAGCTGTACCTCGATTGATACGCTACACTCCGCTCACTCTCCACAGCAGACAGAGATAGATGCAAGACAAGCGCTCACCCACTCAAACACAAGCAGAGCAATACGCCACACTCCGCTCACCGCAGCTGACGAGAAAGAGCACATCTAAGCTCACAGCCAGCAGGGAAGGATCGATGTGGCGGCTACCTATATGTAAAGGCAGCCAGCTTAATTATAGGTAGTTATAAGAAAGTACGGGTAATTTTTCTCTATACTTCTTCTAGCTATACGTAAAGGGAGCTTGCTTAATTATAGGTAGCTATAGGAAAGGTATGGTAGGCAAGTAGCTATAGGTAACTTTCATAGGGGTAGCTCTATATGTGCACCCTTACTATTGAGCTATATAGTTTCTCTAGCTATAGCTAAAGGAGGTATAATAGGTAGCTGGCACTAGGTAGCTAAATGAAGTCTAGGTAGATACGATTATCTAGATATTGGTCTGAAGACCAATAACTGTTTGTAGTTTCGAGAACTCTAGGTTGCTATGATTATCTTGGGTTTGGTAGCTTCAGTAGTTGTAGCTAAAGTGGTGCTTTGCTAGCTTCACTTGTAGTGGTTGTTGTCTGGTTAATAGCCCCTTCACCAATAAAACACTTCGTAATTTCAGGATGACCATCCAAATAACATAAGTCAAGCTGATTAAACCTAAAACACTTTTAGATCTCTCACGTGCACATAAAAAGTGTATGACAGACCATTTTATCAAAGATGAATCTAAGCATATCCATGGATCTCCAATAGTGAAGGGCACGATGTCAAAGGATAAAGCTGCAACTAAGCTGTTTCTTTAGCCCTTCTTTCTGTAAATAAAAGTTTTGATACATGTAGCAAATACAAGGGTAGTTTGATCCATAAACAACAATTTCTTTCCAGATATTTGTAATAACTCACACAATCACAATGAATCAATTTGTTTTCCCAATCATACTAAAAGAACATATCGAAGCAACTTACCAGTTTTGATCTTTCCAGCCAGGAAGACAAGAATCTCACAATGCAAAAACCATTTACAACAATCCTATACAAAAAAAGGTAGCCATCATGAATAGTCGACCACTATATTTGCCATTCATGTAGAACTCGGTTGTTTAATCCATTCCTTCTTTATATTCCAAAGTTGCTTCCTAAACTCGTTAGAAATTAAACTTTGAAGAAAGAGTCCAATGGACCCTAAAAAGAGAACCTAGACTCACACTACTGGGCACGAATGCTAGTGTCAAAACAAGCATACAATAAACAGAGAAATTTCAGCCTACACAGTTTTTATTCAGAGACCCATGCAGGAACACTGAAGAATCATTATAGCAAATGGAAATTAAGCAATCGTTACAGAAAGTAAAAATAGCCAAGAAATATACTTAACTAAAAAAATAGCTAATTTTAATAATAGCTAAAGAGCATTTGAAGGGTCTGAAAGCCAAGAAAGGTTTCAAATAGATCAGAAATGACATAAGGGATGGAAAAAAGAGCGATAGCAAATAAATCACAGAATACAATAATCAATTCGGTACAGTATTTTCTTACAAATAACCAATACAATAAGATATTCAATCCATGAAAATCATTCTGAAAGAACAAAAAAGCACAATAAAAAATCATTCTGAAAGAAAAATTCTAAGAAAAATAATCCTTGATCCAAAGAAACAAGAAACCCTAACATAAATCAATAAATATTTCAGCAAAAATAAAGTAACCAGATTCAAAATCATTTCTTACATAACCATGAGATATTATACCAGAAGTGAGGGAGAAAGGAATAGGAAAAAAAAAACATAGGATACAGAATCTATAGATCAAATGGAATAAAGGATTATTTCATAGCTAAAGCTATTTACGAAAAATTGATAGTAAACATTCAAAAGCTATAGAAAAACAGCATAATCTAAATGGAGGCATATCAAACAAAGGATCCCCTAATTCACCAGAACAATAATCAATCCCAAAAACCGCAAGAATAAAAAGAATCTTTTATTTAAGGAAAAAAAACCAAGAACAAGAAAAGCACCTTGTTTTGCACTTTTGCGAGCTGCTTCTTTGGAGTCCGGAGATTTTACACGCAGGCCTCTTTGGCACTAGCCCTTACTCAACCTTACCGAACAAAAATCAAGGTAGTCGACGAATAGCGTGTACACTATTCCTCCACGAGATGACATTGTCCACGTGCTCCCGCGGTTACTGCAATACGTTTTGGACCTTTTGGTGAAATTTGCATAGGAATTCAAAATAGGAAATGTTTATACGAGGTTGCAACCTAAAAATATAAAATTAAGGTGAACCTCAAAAATCTATCAGTTGTTTTTTACGATGGAAAATCCTCTGATTAATCATCTCTGAATATAAAAAGAAAAAATATTTTGAGTCTCAAAAATAATAGATATTGCAATATATTATTTAAATAGTTTATTTTCAAGATTTTTATATGTTTATAGATACTTGACATTAATTATTTTATCTAAAGCATATTTTAAAAAGGGAAAAGATTATATAGAGCCGAGGCTCTAAACAATTAAATTGGAATCTACTACAAAAATTTCACTAAAATAAGTTATTTTGATGCCCAATATCCTTAAATTGATCATCTCGACGGCAAGATATATGGACATAGAAAAAAATGGATTTCAAGTTTTGAAAATAGTGTATTTTATGAGGCATTTTTTTATTGTCAATTTTCAATATTTTATAGTTTTCATAGGTCTGTCAATCTATACTATTTTCATAGCTTTAAATTTTATAAGTAAAGACGAAATTTTGTTTTAAGGCTACCACAAAGATTATAATATTGGAACCACATTACTCCACATAATTTGAAAGTAGGTTCTAATTTAATTGTTTAGAATCTAGGCTCTATACAACCGGCACTTTTTTAAAAAGCACTCATATAATTTAAAATAGTCTAATCTATATCAAGAATTATAGGGGCCAAATTGGCTCTTGCTAAAAATCAGGAACGGACTTGTTTCCCCATTAAATGGCTGGTCATGGTAAGTTTTTTGACATAAGTAGTAAATTCAGTCATATAACTGCTCAGAACCAGCCCCACCTTCTTAAAAAAAAAAAAATTTAATGATTGGTTTTTTAGTTTGGATTGTCGATCCGGATCAGAGTTTTTAAATTGATGTCCTAGAACATCAAGGTTTTTAGTTTTATTTTACCCTCAAACTAATTCAACATTTGAATAGCCCAAAAAAAATAAAAGCATAATTTTCATATAAATTCAACACAAATTAATTCAACATTTGAATAGCCCAGAAAAAATAAAAGCATAATTTTCAAATAGATTCAACATCCAGCTTAAAAACACAAAACAGTAGTATTTTTGGGCATCCAACTCCAGCATCTCCAAAACACAAAAAAAAATTAGCGTTTGGCAACTCCAAAGTCCAAAACTTCAAACGACCAAAAAAATCAGCGTTTGGGCAACACCAGATTTCGACACTCGCAATGCGAACGCGCCTTTACGACATTTTAACTCAAAATTGATAAATTAGGTTAAAAGTCCCACCAAAAAAAACAGGGAGAAAAAAGCGAAAATGGCAAAGACCAAACTATTTTTGGGTGTGATTTGTACAAGGCCGAGGCCTTAAAGAATCAAAGTAAACACATCTTCAACTAGCATTTAAAGATGATGTTTCAGCACCAAAAATCTTTATTGATGGCTTGAAAATTTATTTTCATAAGTAATTATGAAATTTCAAGCTTCAAAAATAGTGTATATCAAGCATATATGTGAATACTTAAAAATCTTGAAATATATTACAAGATGCACTATTTTAAGGGTTGAAGTCTTTTTTTATGTTCATGTATCTCAAGGTCTAGATGATCAAATTCGACAGTTTTTCAGCATCAAAACAACTTTTTCTAATGAATTTTTTAGATGCACTTTCATTTAGTTGTTTAGAGCCTCGTACAACCTTTTTCCAACTTTTTTTTTTTGGTGCATACGAAGACCAAAACTTAGTCACAATTAAACCAAATCAATTCACGGGGCCCAAGTAGCATAGTGCCCGAGCGCCATTGTCATAAGGCTGGAGCGTTGTGGCTCTGACTTGCATTACTATAACGCACATTCAGAATGCGGGAGTGCTTGTTTATACTGCCAGAATGCGGTCCTCCATTGCCAGAGCGCTGTGGCTCTATAGACTTTATTGTCGGAGTGGAATGCTGGAGCACGTATTTGCACTACCCGAGTGAGTTCTCATAATGCCGGAGCGCTATGGCTCAGACATGCATTGCCATAACGTACATTCAAAATACCGGAGCGCATGTTTGTACTGCCAAAATACAAGTAAAAACATGAGAGAAGGCCGTATGAAAACAAACAAGGGTAGTTTGGTCTTATTTCATGCTATTTTTAGGTTGGGGGTTATTTGCGATGAAAAGTTATTTGGAAAAAAAAAGCGAGAGAAAAGATTGGGATGGGGTAAGTTGCATATAGTCCTTTTAGGTTGGTTTTTATAAATTTAGTGCATATTTCTTTAGCACCTTTTTGAAAAATAACAAAAAAAAAAAAACCCCATAAACTACATGTTCTATACAACTTACTCTCAACCTAACTTTCTCTTTCATTTTTTTCCATAATATACTTTCAACGCAAATACCCCAATCAAATAAAAAATTAAAAATATGTACACTACCCTGCCTTACCTTTACTTTACTCCCACTTTTCTTTCATCTATCTCACTAAAATAGGGGCTCCGGCACTGTGTAAATACGATCAATGAGTAGTGCTCTAGTATTGTGTAAGTGTGCTCCGACACTTTGTAAAGTGTGGTACAGCAGTAGCACTATAGCACTAAATGTTATTGAATTTCAGGGTTCTGACACAGACTGTATAGCCGTACTCAGTTTCAATTTGGTAGTTATCGTAGTGTAGCCCAAGACTTGTGCACTCTTGGCAATGTGATTGTGCACTTCAGCATTGTACCATTGGGTCCAAAAGTGAACATGGTAAAATGATTTTTGTATACTAGAAGAGTATTTTCGGCTAAAAAGCTTTTTTTCTTGGGGGAATTGTTTTTTGTGTACGATAACAGCATTTTCGCCCAAAAGCGTTTTTTTTCTGGGGGTGTGTTTGTATAGAAATTAGTTCCGGGGAGAAATGTGAGACGAAACCTTTATCGTTCCGGGCTTGCTTTAGAATGTGTAGCGTTATGATTTTTGTATTCTTTCCTCTCCCTATCCTGGTCTCTCTCTCCATTAGCTCCTCTTTTATTCTTCTTTCTCTCTCCTCTCTCTCTCAATTAGCATCTCTTTTGATCTCCTCTCCCTCTAAGTTCTCAAGAGGAGTACCTCTATGTAAATTCTCAATCGGAATCTCTCTCTCTTTTTCTTATTTCTCTCTCTAGAATTGGTCGTGTTCATTCTCTCTTTAGCAGCTCTCTGCAAATCTCTTAACTTTTTTCTCACCCTGCCTCAATTACCTCCCTCAAGAATCTCTATAACTTTTATCTTTCTCCCATTCCTTTCTCTTTCCTTATCATCTCTCCGCAATTCTCACTATTTTTTTCTCTCTGTTCAATCTTTTTCAACAAGAATCGGTCTTTAAATGGAGACCCAATGGATTACAGAGTTTCCACACACGAACATGGACAGGCGCCCTAGGAAAAGGCCTAGGTTAACTTGGGACGTTCCTCCTCCTTCCTTAAAGGTAGATCCAAGTCCCTCTCCTCGTGTTAATATTTTTTTTTGCACATTGTATTGGCATAAAGTATATTTAGATCTGCCCTTTATGAGGCATATTGGAATGTTTGATCAAGTATCTCATTTTATCAGGGGATTACAATTTGATTTCCGAGAAATCTATTTTATTGCTTTTTCTTTTTCATTTTTTTTTGTTAGAGTTACATTTTTATATTGAAAGTTTTCCATCTGTATTTTGTTGATGTTTGCGTTTATTTTTCATCCAGAAACTCCAATTTTTACTTTTTAAAGAACATTTTGATCTATTTTAATTATTTTATTGGGTCGTGGTTGAAAATTCATGTAGTAACCTATTCCCTGATTTCTTGATCCTTTTTTCACCCGATTACAAATGGTTTTAATTGATAAATGATAACTAAAGTTGCGAAGATGTCACGCTTTTTTTCTTTCTCTTTAAGTTTTTATATTAGGATAGTTTTATACCTTCTGGAAATAATACATCAACTGATATTAACAGGAGATTTTTGAGCCATTCATAACATCTTTTGCTATTCTCTTGATAATGTTTTTCGTTTTGCTAAAATAGCAATATTTTCGTCATTCAGGTATCATATCTTGTTCTCCTGAAATTGTCATGGCCGGTGCACTGTGTTCAATCTCTTCTTGACATCTCTATCTCTCTCTCACTGACATATGATTGTGGTTTCTCAACGAATGCCGATAGATCTTGTTAAATTCATTATAAATCGATTGATTTCCCATTTATTCCTCTTGTAAGTGGCTAAAAAATGCATTATATTTATTCAGGACCTGTTTCCTGTTTCTGTTTACCTTGGACCTCTATTTTTTCGTGGGCTATGATTGTACATTCTCTTTTTTGATGACCTTGATTAGATACCCTGTTATGAGCAGTAGTAGAGTCTTATCTTGACTGTTTTAAATGGACGTTTGACCAAATTGAGCTCAACTGATAACCTAACTGGTCTGAACTCTGGTCATTGCAACTTCTATTTCTCATATTTCTTTTTGAAACGGAAGGGCTATATGGCAAAAACTTGGAATATTCATTGTATGCTTTTGAAGACTTATTGTTGTTAATGCCTCATTTTATACCACGAGGGTGAAATATAAGGTGATTACCTTGACATTTGATCTATAGAAAAATGGGTTGAAATGGTTGTGTGTAGGCGTATCCAGGTTTATATTGTCGGCAAGAAGTTGGGCATGGGCCAGTCTTAGACGATATCTATTCTTCTTTATATTTCAAGGGAGTGGCTCGTAATGTTTCCCCTCCTCGGCGACCTGATGATAAGGACGGCCATTACGTTTTTGCAATTGGGGATAACCTAACCTCACGCTGTAATTACGTTTTATCACCATATTTTGATGCTATTCTTGCATTTACAGCATACATTATATGATCGATCCGAATCACCATGGAAATATCATGGTCCATTTGGTTTTCACCATCCTTTGAAATGATTAACAGTGATGGGCAGAAAATGGAATCCACCAGAAAGGGCCATGAGCCCAACCATGGTGCCTACTCTCTCCATCATCGTCCATCATCTCATTGAATGGTGATGGCCCCATTATCTATTGCAATATTTTCCCCGTGATAATCCCATTGTTTTCCCTTTCTTTTAGTGTGGTGTATTTATTGTCCTGTTGTTTCAGTTTTTATGTTTTGTGTACCCATGTTAGTATCTATTTTCTTGCCTGGTGTAGACTAGAAGATACTTCAAAATTTTAGCCATATTTTAGCTTTAATGAAGGATTTTAGCTGAGTCAAGAGCGAGTTGCTAGGGCATTGCATTTACTTCTTGTTGCATGTTGCATTAATTTGGCATATCTGATCGGAAGCATGCATTACAGTGCTTTTGTTAGTTCTAAAAATGCTTCTTATTCCCTGTTTCCATGGGTGGTCTGGAGATTGACATGGCATTTTTATACGAATTACACTTGTGCCAAAATTTTGAAGTTTTGAATTTCTCTATTTGTCCTTCATAGTGAAAAGTTATGTACTTTCCTCTATACCTTTAAAAAAGTAAGAGTGCAGACTGATTTTCTTTCTCTTCGTTTGGGAATCTATCTCCCTCTATTTTCTTCTTTTTGCATCGCAATTGATATAGTTTTTAGTTTTTCACTTATACCTTGCTTCTTTTGTGTCATTGCAGATAGGATCCACAGCAAGATGGGTGAAGGTTAGCATCTTCTTAAATTGTTCTTTCTGGTTGTTAGCTTCCATTCCATATCTATATGTGGGATTACTGCTCTGATTCTCTTGTTTGTTAAGCAAAGATATTGAGTTCTTTTTTAGTTGTTTTCATCTTTGTTTGCATCCATGCTCTGATTACTACTATGCTTGATCACCATAATCGATCTTCAGCTGAATTCTGTATAGCTATGACCCTTAGTTAAGTATTGTTTCATTCAGATATGAAAAATTCGGTTACTTTCAACAAAAGTATCCTCCTATGTGCGGGGTCTTTGTTTGGATGGAAATCTGATGAAACCAGCTTCTGGCATTCAGAACTGTTTGGGTGTTTCTAGATTGATGGAAAATTATTGGGGTGTTTCTAATGTTCAACAGTCTGGCCAATCCTCATTATCTAGAAATGGATCTTTATCCCGAAATTAGCCAAACTTGCTCAAACTTCATAATGCATTTAAAATGCACACATATATATTTTAAAATTCCCCCACCCCCAAAAGAATGGGCCTTTGAGAAAACTGGCCAAATTATACTGAATTTAGCTGGATTTATAATATTTTTCCTATTACCTTAGGGCATCTGCTTTGTAAAATTTGTCTGATTTGTGGTGCTCTGTGCTGCACTTTGAACCCCCTGTTATACTGTTGAAAACTTTAATATTTGAACCACAGGGTGGTGTAACCATCATTCACTGTTACTTTACCTGCTTTAGATTTGCAATCAAATTGGAAATAGAATTGTAGTCAAAATGGAAATAGAATTATGTCTCTATTCTTTTCTATTTTTAAACTCGTTCAGTTATGACGAAATTGCATAAGTTTTATAACTTCCATACTTTGCGATGAAATTATTTATTCATTGGATGGTTTTCTTTTCCTGTTTTGCTAATATTGTAGGCACATTTGGGCAAGTTTTGGAATGCTGGGACCAGGAAAAGAGAGAAATGGTGGCCATCAAAATTGTGCGTTCTATGCAGAAGTATCGTGAAGCTGCCATGATTGAAATAGATGTCCTTCAGCAGCTTGCAAGACATGATCCAGGAGGCACTCGGTAGGGGTTTCGACTTAAGATGTACTTTGTTTAAAATTTTTCCTTTCTCCAATGGTTGTTGCTACCTGTTGGTCGGAAGCTCTTTTAAATGGATTTCGTGTAAGGAATTTCACTCTTTGCAGTTGTGTGCAAATACGGAATTGGTTTGACTATCGTAATCATATCTGTATTGTAAGTATTTGTGTTTTTTTATTAATTTGTGATGGCAATGTATACTCACTCCCCATTTACTTGGAGTTAAAACTTGGATGAATTGTAAATGGTTTAACAGGTATTTGAGAAGCTTGGGCCAAGCTTATACGATTTTCTACGGAAAAACAGTTACCAATCATTTCCCATTGATCTAGTGCGAGACCTTGGCAGACAAATGTTGGAGTGTGTAGCATGTGTGTGGACAATACTTCAACTATTTCTCTATATTTTACTTTGAAGTTGAGACGATCTTTTACTAGGATCTCCCAATATTTAGAGCTTTGACATTTTATCGTTCTTGTTGGTTAATCTCCTTACCATATCCCCTTTGTGCTTCTCATATCTTATTGGACTTGTTCACAGTCATGCATGAGCTACGGCTTATTCACACTGACTTGAAGCCGGAAAATGTCCTCCTTGTTTCTCCGGATTATGTTAAGGTGCCAGAATATAAGGTATACTATTTTTGCCTCCAAGCTATTTAAAGCATGTTTATGAAATTAGGCGTATATCAGGTGAATATGTTGAGTATGACAAGGTTTCTAAATGCCTTTCTCTATATTTTGGCTGAAATTGATAAGAAAAATTTGAAGTTAATTTTCTAACATTTTTATTGATGGCTACCTTTTTCTTTTCTCCCAGAATTCTGGGTGAATTGAAGCTGAAAATTTAGTTAATTTTGGCGTAAACTATGAAGCTCAATAAATTATGATTTTCTAAATCTCAAATGAATATATGGTATACAACTTATTTGGAGTTTTGGACCATAGTTTGGTTCAAAATCTGACACCCAGTTTGGTTCTCGATGTACATGTTGGTCTAGCAGTATCCATTGAACCTAAAAATGACAGCATTCTGCAAGTGGGATGAAAACTGGCATTTGCAATTTTCATCTCTCACAAAATGGAAGTGTTTTGTGAGTGAGCTAACACCGTACTCGGGGTTCAAAGATGGCAGCCAAAGGAACCACTTGAACCATATCGGTACGGTGTTCAAATATGGCAGCCAAAGGAACCACTTGAACCACATCGTGACCTAAGAAGCCACCCAACAGCTCCAAAGCATGTTTTGGGGTGGCATGAAAATGAACCCTGAATATTTTTTATCACCCTTCTTAAACCTGAAGATATAAGCATTTAAGCTTGAAATGCGGGTTATCGTGTACGACAAACATTTAAGCTTGAAATGTTGGGTATTAAGTAGAATGTTTTTCCTTATCTTCAAAATCATCTGTGAGCGTGAAAGGTTGGCTGATGTTCCCTTGTGTTTTGTTTCCCCCCATCTTCTTTGGGTGATTAAGTATTCCTCTCGAACTGCAAGGGAGGGTTCCTATTTTAAGAAATTGCCTAGATCAAGTGCAATCAAGCTCATTGACTTTGGCAGTACAACATATGAACATCAAGATCACAGCTATGTGGTGTCTACTAGGCATTATCGTGCACCTGAGGTTATTCTGGGTAACTTTCTCCTGACTTGTTGAAAGCAAGTGAAATGTTAATTCCGGGCTTTTGGAACATTTATTTTCAAGTTTTTAGAACTTGTTTCTTTGTGCATGTTATTAATGTGTTGTTTTACTTGATTTTTAGGGTTGGGATGGAGTTACCCTTGTGACATGTGGAGTGTTGGCTGTATATTGGTGGAGCTTTGCTCAGTGAGTTTAAATATTTGCATCTAATGGAGTTTCTTTATCTTATAAAAATAATTAATTAGGTTGCTCTGTGAGGAGCATAAGTTTCTTTGTCTTATAAAAAAAGAAGAGAACTTTTTTCCATTCTAATTGAAAGGCGTGTCTCTGAATTTATTTTGCGCCTATTTAGTGATACTTATTGAAGTTTGACTACCCATAATTTGAAGAACCTTTTGTCTTGTTCTTTTATTGATCATCCCAGAGAATAAAAATATTGGGGTGTATGCTTTGTATATTAGGAATTTATGGAATTTTGATATAGGTTAACTTATTTAAAATTGTTCTTTTCATTCCTTGCTGACTCTTTTTGTATTATTGGAATGTATCTCACTTAAGTCCCTTTAAGAATCAGGCAATCATATTACCCTTGAGCTGCCATCTTGTCCAATCCTCCACATCAATGAAATATTGACAAAAGTTACAGCATTTGCATTCTATTTGGTATATATAATTTTTTGGCTCCATTTCTTATGTTATATTATTTTATTTGCAGGGCGAAGCACTGTTTCAAACTCATGAAAACTTGGAACATTTGGCCATGATGGAAAGGGTATTAGGACCACTTCCACAGCACATGTTGATCAGAGCTGAGTACGTTCAAGTTTCCATTAGCAAAAAAAAGTATACATCTCAAGAGAAATAAGAAACATGACTGAAAATTGATACTACACTTATTCCTATGTTCTTGTTTAACTCTCTTTATGGGATTTATCCCCTTTACCTTTTGGTGTGGAGCGTTCTTATTGCCTCTAGCTGCAATTGAATGTCAAATTATCATCTCTATCTCTTTGCATGTGTACTAGTGTGTGTATTTGCGAGGGAGGGAGGGAGTTGGTGCTTCAACTGTACCTGATTATAACTCTCTGGGTTGATGTCCTTTGTGTTTTAGTGGAACTTCTCACTTCTATTATCATTTATGACTATTGAGTTATTACCTTGCTCTGTGGGTGTGTATGTTTGCTTGTTCCTTTGTGTGTGTGCATTTGTGTGTGTGTATGTGTGTGTGTGTTTGAGAGAGAGAGAGAGAGAGAGAGAGAGAGAGAGAGAGACATGTACCTTCCTTATAGTGGTGGGTTAGGTTAATACG